AATCACAGTTGCATTGGTATTCCCTTAAAGACTAAAAATAAATAAAACTAAAACAAAATAATAAATTTTCTAAGAACAAATAAATTTGTGGCATTACTATTACCCTTTGGAAAGAAAGAAAATGAAAAAAAAGACAAAATTTGCACATAATGTACATATAAATCACGCTTTTTAATAAAATACAAAAATAATTATATAACAATTATTGGCATTGATATTTAACCTTAAAGAAAGAAATACAATGAAATAAGTTAGTGGCATTAATATTTTCGCAAGAAAAAAAGTTTTCTGAGAACGAATCAGTTAGTAGCATTGATATTTAACGTTTAAGGAAGAAATACAATGAGATAGAAACTAAACAAAATCAAACTAGTAATTTTTTTGTAAGGAAAAATGAATTAGTGGCATTGGTATTAACCTTTAAGGACAAAGAACATAAAAAATAAAGCAAATAATGAGAAAATTTACACAAAAATGTGTTTTTTTTTCATATGCAAGAAAATGCATACAAGAGTGGAATTTTTCAAAAGTAACTATCATAATAAGGAATGAACTAGAGTGGCATTGATATTACCCTTAAAGAAGAAGGAAAATGAAATAGAACTAAATCAGAAAAAACAAAATAATGAAAATTTTCTAAGAACATATGAATTTTGTGGCATTACTATTATACTTTGGAAGGAAAGAAAATAGAAAATGAGAAAAATTGCACATAATTTACATAGAAATTATGGATTATAATAGTGGAATTTTCAGTTGGGTTTCGTAGCAATTTCAAAAAAATTCCTACGCACACGCAAGATCATGGTGATGTATAGCAACGAGAGGGGGAGAGTGTGATCTACGTACCCTTGTAGATCGACAAGGGAAGCGTTAACTTGGTTGATGTAGTCGTACGTCTCCACGGCCCGACCGATCAAGCACCGAAACTACGGCACCTCCGAGTTCTAGCACACGTTCAGCTCGATGACGATCCCCGGACTCCGATCCAGCAAAGTGTCGGGGAAGAGTTCCGTCAGCACGACGGCGTGGTGACGATCTTGATGTTCTACCGTCGCAGGGCTTCGCCTAAGCACCGCTACAATATTATCGAGGACTATGGTGGAAGGGGGCACCGCACACGGCTAAG